CGAGCAGGAGGAGAAGCAAGAGGATAATTACGAGCAGGAGGTCGATGACGAGGTAGAGGATGAAGACGAGGAGGAGGAGGAGGAGGGGGGGGGAAATACGACCAGTAGATATAACACTAGCAGCATGAGGAGGATTCCGTATGAGGGGACGGGGAAGACTGAGAGGAGATACAGGAGGAGGAGGAGGAGGAGGAGGAGGAGGAGGAGGAGGAAGAGAAGAAGGAGAAGGAAAAGGAAAAGGAGGGGGAGGACGAGGAGGAGGATGAGAAGGAGGAGGAAGAAGAGGGGAAGGAGGACCAGAGGGATCGGGATGAGGAAGATGACGAGGAGGAGGAGAAGCGGGAGAAAGAGAGAAGGGGGATAACTGATGATGAGGTGTATTAGAAGGGGGAGGGCGAGGGCGAGAACGAAAATTACGTGGATGCGCTGAGGAGGAGGAGGAGGAGGAAACGGAGGAGGAGTAGGACGACGGTGATCACGAAAAGCTAGACGACGACACGGAAGGCGCAGGCGGAAGAACGCACGAGCACTCTCAGGAGCCACCTTGGGTCAAAAGACGCTGTTTGGGGATACTGGACTCTGGTATGACAGGGCGTTATGGGGGGGAGAGGGGGGAGGGGGCATAACGCCGTCGTGTAGGTCTGGCACCGCAGACTGTGGTGCTGGACGCACTGCGGCAGTGCCGGGGACGCCCTGGGGGAGGAAACGTCGTTAGGGGGGGGGAAGGGCGGGGGGGGGGGAGGGGGCATCAAAAAAACGCACGCGGGTGCCTTCAGCTCTGCATTTTGTTGCTGCATGTAGCTAAGAGGACATCGGAATCGGTAAGCGCGCGGGCACGAGTTCCCAGCGTCGGCGCCGCTAGGAGGGGCGAGAGCGTGGAAAGCATGAGGGTCTGGGCCTACTTCAAGGAGCCCCGATCTGGCCGAAATCGGCGCGCTCCAAGAAAAGCCGACCGCAGATCTCAACTTGGGTCAACTCGGCCGGAATGTCGGCCAGCGCGCGTATGTTCTTCCGTGACCACAAAAAGAGAACTACATGAACATAAGCACGTAAGAATCCGCGCGGATTGCTTGGATCGGCGCTGGGCCTGCCTGGTGGCTCCTCCGGCGCCGCCCCTGATGCACTACGCGCGCCAGAATGGGGGGGTGAATGCCGATCCGCGCGGAGCTGCGAGAGTGCATGTTGATGCCTTTTTCCTCTACGAAAACTGGTTTCTCTCCCTCGGCGCCGACGCTGGGCGAGGGCAGTGCCCGTCTCGCGTGCACCGCGCTGCGCTGTCACGCTGGAGAGCACCACGAACTGCACACTGGCGCCAACTGCACACTGTACACTTGCCAGGGGCGAGACGGCTCAGGCGATCACAGAACGAGAAATACGCTTTGAGTCTTAGCGATTGGCGTCCAGGGAGGTAGATGGGTTCGTCGGCAGTAGCAGTGCGTAGCCTGGATGGCTCAGTGGGCACAATGCTCACAGGCCCAAAGGCTCCTCTTCTGGCTACTGGCGGAGACGCGTCAGTAGATCCGGCGTGGTTCTGCAAAACGTATCGTCGGTCGAGGTTGAAGCAAAGACGCAGGAGCAGGAGAAAAGGACGGGGCTCTCAGCAACATTCCGTGGGTGCTCGCTCAACGCCAAGCACCCATGCAGCATTGAATTCAACCAGCCCTTTCAGGGCGTCGGTGGTTTAGCGAGTTACTTCTTCCAACCTACTTCTCCCCCTTGGGGCAGAGGTTTACATCTCCCCATATCCCCGATCTCCCTGGGTATGGAGGGGGTGTTTGCGAGGGCTGAGAGCCTGAGAGCGTCCAGGATGGCCCAATATGGACCCAAGAGGGCCGCAAATTCGCCGGCCCAACGGGCCAGAGGCGTGCTAAGATCTCCGGTAAGTGGTTAACAACATTTCTAGTTCGCGCGCGCGGGGCGGCCCCGGGGGGTCCCTGGATCAAAATTACCCCGAGAGGAGCCCGAGAGGATCCCGGGAGGAGCCCGGGAGGGTCCTGGGAGACTCCCCCGGGGCCCTCAGGAGCGCGCCAGGAGTGCCCCAAGAGGCCCCCAAAACTGCACAAAGGGCCCCCGAGACGCCCAAAGAGCGCTCCAAGACGCCGATGATGACCCCAAGACGGCCCAAGAGGCCTCCAAGTGGCCTCCAAGAGGCCTCACAAGAGGGCCCCGAGAGGCCACAATCATAAATTTTGCTATGGTTTTTGAAGGATTTGGGCCTTGTCCCCTTTTCGGCCATCCGATGCTCCAAGACGGCCCAAGAGGCCCCCAAGAGCGCCCCAAGACGGGCCAAGAGGCTTCCAAGAGGGCCCGAAGGGCCCAAGAGGGCCCCGAGACGGCCCAAGAGGCGCCCAAGACGGCCCGAGACGGCCCCAAGACGGCCCCAAGAGGGGCCCAAGAGGGGGACCACGAACCGAAACCTCGCGCCTTCCGTGAGGCCCCGAGATGCCCCCAAGAGGCCCCCAGATGCCGCCAAGAGGCCCCCAAGAGGCCCCAGGAGGCCCCCAGGAGGCCCCCCAGAAGGCTTCAAAAATGCCTCCCAGGCGGCCCCGAACGGGTTCTCAAAAGACCCCTAGAGGCCTCCCAAAGAAGCATCTTGACGACGACCCTGTTTGGCCCCAAGAGCAACACAAGATGCCAACGAAAGGCTTCCTCCTCCGCCCCTTCCTCTTCCTCCTCCTCCTCCTCCTCCTGCGTATCTTCACACTCCTCCTCTCCTGCTCATCCTCTCCTCCTCCTCCTCCTCCCCTCCCCTTCCCCATCCTTATCTTCTTTCTCCTCGGCAGCGCCACAATGGCCCCGGGCCCACGGCGAAGCAGTAGCGATCATGCAACATGGGCTGGCGGAATGAGCGAAGCGATTGAATAGCATAAGACAGCCTCCAAGCTGGCACAAGACATCCCAAGATGGCTCCAGATAGCTTCAAGCGTGCTTCCAAGTGGCCCCAACACCACCCCCAAGACGGTTCCAAGTGACCACGGAGCCTCCCAAGGACCCCCCCCCGGGAGGCAAAAATCGCCACAACGCCACAGGAAATCTATTTGTGTGTGTTGCCTTCTCGCCTTTTCGCTTACTATGGGCTCGCGAGGCCTCCGGATGGATCCCAGATGGAAGCGCCCCTAAAGCAACCCGACAAGGCAGTTTGGTCTGGGGGGTAATCCACGCACACCGCTCTCATTGCTGAATCACGGCCTCCGAAAATACTCCAAGACGAGCCAGAAAGGCGCCCAACAGGGCCCCAAGAGAGCCCCAAGAGGACCCCACGGGCAATCAAAAATGCCCCAACAAGGCTCCAAAGGCCTCCAAACTGGCCCCCAAGAGGAACCCACAATAACCCCAAGAGGCTTCCAAGAGGCTTCCAAGAGGCTCCCAGAGCCAAAGACACCCAAGAGGCCCCAAGACTCCCCTGCTATATACGTATACGCACATATCGGTGCAAAGGCAACGGCTGCCCCGCATTTGTTCCAACGGCACGCTGCTGCACTCCCCTGATCAGGGGGAACTCCCCGAGTGGTTGTTTGAAAATGGTTGGCTGGGATACGCAACGCGTCGCGAACTCCATGTCCGCCAACGCCTAGACCTACGGTTTGCAATTGTTTGACCGGTTCCGTTTTGCCCTTTTCTTGTTGTCCGTTCAGAGGCCCGTTTAAACCCCCCATCACGAGGATCGTGGCCCCCGAGGGGGGGACGCAAATCGAGTACCCCCTCTCTTTTGACCGATCGCCTCCAAGATGGCCCCAAGAGGCCGTCCAAGGCTCTCACGAGGCCCCCAAGAGGGTCCCACGAGCGCCCCAAGAGGCCCCAAGAGGGCTCAAGAAGCCCTCGAGAGGCCCCCAAGAGGCCCCCGAGCGGCCTCAGAGAGCCCAAGATGACCTTCAAGATGGCTCAAGATAGCCCAAGCTGGCTCAAGATGGCCCCCAAGATGCTCAAAGAGGCCACAAGACCGCTCCAAGAAGGTTCGAAATGGCTTCAGAGCCATCCCAGGAGGGTCAGCATTCCCTCGCGTCTCTTCGGCCAGCCGGCTCCCTCGCTTTTTGACTATGATGCGTGTCTCTTCTTCCCTCCACCTGTCAGATCTTATGGGCATCGTTTCTGGATGGGCTGGTGGGGATACTTTTTGATCGCAAGCGTAGCGGAAGTGCCGAACGCCGTCAGAAAGTTGTAACACTCGAGCTACGGCCTAAATTGCGCAAGCGGGAGAGAGAGGGAGAGAGAGAGAGAGAGAGAGACAACGGGAGAAAACGAGAGAACAGCAGGGAGGAGACAACAGCAGGCGGGCCTCGCTGCCGCTCAGAAGTGCGGGCTGGTGGGGGTACTTTTTCGTCGCAGACCGCGGGCGAAAGCGCCAACGGCGTGTCGAGTCGGCTCGGGCTACGAGCGGAACTAATTGCCGGCGCGCGCGCGGAGCTCAGCAGGACCTACCGCCGGGGCGGGGGCTGTGAGCTGCAGGGGCTGCCAGGGGGTGCAAACGTGCGACACCATGGGAGCTGAACCACCAGGTATGCGAATTGACTGCAGCTGCCAGGGACCCTGTCCAGGGAAGCGCGCATGTGAATTAGCCAACCGAGGATAAAAATGGCGCAGCCAAGATGGCGCAGCCAAAATGGCGCGAGGGATACACCAGGATGTGACCAGGGTGGCGGCAAGCTGGTATACTGACTGCCATGGGTGTCCAACTTGGTCCAAACTGGTGAACGATGTGGCGACACCAAAGTCGCACACCGAGACCCCCACGAAGGGAGTGTGGTCCAGGAGCGTCCGGCCACGGAAAGCCCCAGGGACGGACAAGGTAGCCAGGTGGACGATGGATGTAATCGACACCGTACGCGTCTGAGCCACCGGACCAGGGAGCTGGTGGGGATACGCGAAGCGTGAAGAATGGTGAAAAAGCGGCGCTGCCGTTTCCGGGGCCCACTGAGGACCTGCGCCACTTCAGACATGTGCCCGAGAAGGCCGTGGACGCGCGCCTTGCGCACCACCACTCCTGGCAAAAAAGAACGGCGTCACGACAACAAGCTTGGCGGTGCTCGCCCGAAGTACCACAGCGTGTTTTCGGCCCGCTTCTGCGCGTTCTTGCCGGGGGCGACGCTCCTGGAATCGGTGAAGGGCTCGCCCCATTTCAGCCACAGGCTCACCCAAGATATTCCAGAGTCGTGGTCTCCAGCTTCAGCAAGAATCACGCGGAGGTCCTGAAGGACATGCGGCTCCATGTTGAGACTCGCGGACGCCAGCTCGTCGCCGGCCACCTCCTTGCCTACCACCACATCCTTGCACCATTTGAGAACAGCATTGCTATGAGACTTGTTGGGAGTCAAATCAGGCACCAGACGGCGGTAAGCTACCAGCCGTTGCTTCGCTTGGTGCATGGGTTTGCAAGACGATTCATCGGCTGGTGCATTGGAGGAGTGCTGAGGCAATACGTGAGGCAATCGGGGGGGACCAGTTACGGCGGGGCTGGACGCTGAACCCACTGCACAGAGCACTGTGGAGTCGTCGTCATGCACGTGAGACACAGGATCGACCCGCGCACGGGTATAGTCCGCCGACCCCTTGTGGGTCTCTAGGCGTGTGAGCTAGTTCCCCCCCCTACCCCCCCCCCGGGACCCCAAACCGGAGATTTGACCCCCCCCCCCCCGGCCCGGCGCGAGCGCACCACGAGGCTTCTCCGGACCCAAGAGGGCGTCAAAACGGGGCAAGAAGGCCCCAAGAGGCCTCCAAGACGGCTCACGAGGGCCCCGAGACGCCTCACATGTGCTCCAAGACGCCCAAGATGGCCCCGAGATCGGCCAAGAGGCCTCCAAGACGGCCCAAGAGGTCCCAAACAAGCCGTCCAAGAGGGCCTCAAGAGGCTAAAATTGTTGATTTTCCATTGTGATTTTTCTGAGTTGTTTTGCCTGTTTGCCTCTCTGGCTTCCCGACGCTCCAACACGGCCCAAGAGGCCCCGAAGACAGCCACAAGACGGCACAAGAGACCCCCAAGACGGCCCCAAGACGGCCCCAGATGGCCCCATGACGGCCCCAGAGGCCCCCAAGACGGCTCCAAAACTGCACCCAGAGAAGCCCAAGAGGGCGACCAAACATTTAAAACAACTAGCTTTCCGCCCCAAGGATCCCCAGGCGGCCCCAAGTGTGCCCCCAGAGGCCGCCAGAGGCCCCCAAGACTCTCCCCTGACGCCCTAAATAACCCCCAAGAAACCCCCCAGGGGCTCCGAAACGGCCCCCAAGTGGTTTCAAAACTGCATTCCAGAAGCCTCCGAGAGCCGTGCCGCGAGATCCCAATACACCTACAAGATGCCTCTAACCCATAACCCAGGACTCTGAGCTTTCTCTCTGTGTTTTCCTCGCCCCCCCCCTCCACCTCGGCCCCCAAGTGGCTTCAACATTGCCTTCCAGAGGCCCCCGACAGCCGTGCCGCGATACCCCGATACAGAAACAAAAAGCCTCTAACATATAACCCAGAAGCCAGAGCCTCATCTCAGTATCCCCCTCCTCCCTTTCCTCCTCCTCCTCCACCTCCTCCTGGTCCCCCTCCCCTCTCCCTTCGTTTCATTCCCCACCCTCCTCCTCTCCCGATCCTCTCCGATTCTTCTCCCCCCTATCCTCCGCCCCCCCTCCTCCTTCTCTCCCCGCCCTCCTTCTCCTCCCCAGCACGCGCGCCCCATTGGGCATCATTTGCATGTATTGCACTTCAGGGTGCCCTTCTTTTCGTCGCGCGCGACATGGGCAGGGTTCCCGGGAAACGCCGACTTCGGTAGTCTCCTCTCGCACGCGCCGCTGCACTGATACGCTCGGCAACTGCGCGCTGTGAACCCGAGTTTCTCACAGACCCCGCACACCACTTTGAGCTGTTTCGTCTTTCGATGATGTTCCACTTGCGCTGGCTTCCAATGTTTCGTGTCCGAGAACGCTCCTCCGCACGCCGCGCACGTCAGCGGCTTAGCGTCCGCCTCAGCTTTCCGCTTCTTATTATTCAGCTCGCGCGTCGTCCTCTCGCGCTCTTCCGCGCAACTCCGACATGGCCTTTCCCCTGCTGCTTTGTGCTTCTTTTGAGCATCGGACATCTCCGCCTCCTCTGGGCATGCCGCCAGACAGTCATCGTTCGAACAAAGCACTTGGCACACGCGTTTCTTATTATTCGACTCGCGCGTCGTCCTCTCGCGCTCTTCCGCGCATTTCCGACACAACCTCTCCCCTGCTGCGTTGTGCTTCTTCTGGGCTTCGGACATCTCCGCCTCCTCTGGGAATAGTGCCAGACAGTCATCGCTCGAACGACGCACTCTGCCCACGCTCTCGGCCCATTTCGCGTTGCAACGGCGAGACTTCTGTTGCCCTTTGACACCGCTGCACTTGACGCAGCATAAGGTCCGAATTCTTCTCGCGTCGACCCCATCGCCAACACCTGCCACGCCCCCATCGCCGCTCTCCTGCACGCCTCCATCGCCCTGCGCTGTCGTTGCCCATCCGTCGCGCGTCTTGCACCATTTTTCGTCCCGGCTCTTCATCTCGGCGGTGCACTCTTTACAGGGCGCCGGCCTCTCCTTCCGCTGGAACTCGCACTTCGTGAACGCCTCCACCAGCAGCCGTCGTCGGCAACGCCCGCGCTGATCGCGCGGCATCAGCTTCGCCTCCCACTCCTCCCAGTCCACTTTATCCCCGCGAAGCACCAACAACAATGTCTGCGCGCCTGGCATCTCTCCCGCGTTGTGCGGCTTCCTGTCGAAGGGCCTGAAAATCAACAAGTTCTCCCGCCTCCGCCCGCGCGCGATGGCAACGTAACTGGACATCCAACTCACGCCGCGCCCTCTTTCGAGGTCTGCTATCACCGCTGCCACGGTTCGGCCCTGGGCAGAGTGCGCCGTTGCTGCCAAAACCGGGGTTGCCATAAATTGGGCGCGCTTCACATTCAAGACTGGATGCTTCCGATACCCGCCCAAGAACCATTGCCGCCCTCTCGATGGGAAGATCGGATGCAGCCCCGGCCCCCGCCCGGGCAGGTGCCGCTCCTTCGTCTGGAAGTCCAACGCAATCACTCGCGGCAGATGCAACAACACTTCCTCGTCTTCATCTCCCGCGACCTCGCCCTCGCGCAGCACCCATCCACGGATCGTGGCCGTGCGCCCCCGCAGAAGCTGTTGCTTCGACTGATCCAAGTGATCCCCCAAAGCCACGGGCATCCCTTTGGCCAGCGGCAGCCGCCCAGGCAAGCTCGCGCCCTCCTTGTCGTCGTGCCCGAGCCAACGTATCTTATCCTCCAATGTGCACGGTCGCCTCTGTCCCCCCCCGTGGCAGGGGCGGTCCCTGGCCGCGACCGAGAGCAGCTGTTCTCCTCGCTCCTTGGCCCACTGCACAGCTCTCTGTTTCCCGACGTGGCAACGGATGTCTTGATTGGCATAAATGGCGACAGCGCCCAGGAATTTTGCCTCCCGAAGCCTGCCGTCTTCGGGCGACGTCGCGACGAGCTTCCTCTTCTGCCTTTCAACTTTACACGCCTCACATTCTAGCTCGTTGTTCTGCGGGATGGCCTTTTCTTCATCGATGCAACGCGAGTTCCCGCGCAGCGGTGCGCCGTTCACCCACGATCCCGGCACGTCCGTCCGTCTGCCATGCAAAAAATTGCGCGTGCGTTCAGACAGGTTGCCTCGGCGTAACTCGTCCTGCACTCCAAGGAACCAGTCGTCCTGGTTCTCCACGCGCTTGCGCTCCGTCAACTCTGTCATTCCCTGAACTGCGCCTTCGCCACCAGCGCCCCAAAAGATATGCTGTCCGTGGTCCTCCGTCGCACCTGGCGCGCATTTCCTCGCGTTCTTCAAGTGCGACGCCGGAAGCGCATTAATGGCTGTCCCTGACGGCGGCTCCAACTGGTAGAAGTCCCCGCAGAACAACGCATTCAAGCCTCCGAAAGGCCTGGGCACGCCGTCTCCATCTACCCTCGCGCCACTTGCTGCTGACATGCACGAACGCAACTGCGAATCCAGCTCTGCGAGGAAGTTCGCGCTGACCATGCTCACTTCGTCTACTATCAACCACTTCCACTGCGGCGTGCGCTGCGAGGCCATTTCCTTCTTCGTCTTCTTTTTCGACTCCGCGCCCCCATCGCCCCCTGAATTCGGTCCCTTCGTTTGGTTCACGCTGAGCCCAAAAGCACTATGGATAATATTCCCGCCCAGAGCCGACGCGTTTGTAGCCTGCAACGCCGCCGCCTGAAACTCTACGCCGCGTGTCCACCCCATCTCCTTTTCGAACAGTTCCTTCCGGATCTTGTCTATCACAAAACTTGTTCCGGCCCCTGGACCACCATGCAACATCCGCACGAGGGGCTGCGTATCGGAACGACTCTCGCCTTTGTTCGCGCGGATCGCAGAACCTGGAAATTCCTGCGCCAGCGCCCGATTTGCCACCTTCCCAACGACGCAACGCTGTCCCTCGTTCAACCCGCTATCCGCCAACCCGTCTCTCCACTTCCGCACACTAGACGCCGACGCCTTCTTGGCCGCCACCACTTCGGGGCCACCTTGCGTTTCGCCCGCGCAGCTTCCTTCTGCGGCTCTAGACGCCGCGGCCGCCGCTTGCGCCCTCTGCACTGCCGCGTCACCCCGCCACAGCGCGCCGTACCCTTCGCGGTTCTTGCGCTTTGCGCTCTTCCGACTGGTTCTCGCGCCCCGCACGGCGTCGCCCCTGGCCATGGCCTCCCGGCTTTTCTCCTTCTCGCACTCTGCATCGACGCTCGTCCGTCTGTCCTCTTTCTCCATGGAAGCACCCCCTACACGCGTCTTCCGTCTCGTCGCCGCGTCGACAATTCTCGGGCCCAGCTCTTCGTCGCTGCGCAGCTCGCCCTCGTGTTTCGCGAGATCTTCCTCCGTGATCGGTCGCAAGTCCACCACGCCCATGTAGTTCTGCACGTGCCTCTTCGTTTCTTCACATGGCATGCCTTTCTTTAACCACTCTGACGCAGCCTCCGCCCACGACCCCTGCGCTCCGCGGAAATCGCGCAGGTGCGGTACTCCACAATCGACACCGTCAAGGAGTGTGAACGCCCTGAAATATACCATCAACAAGATCCCGTTTCTGTCCCCCTCCCCCGCCCCGTGTTTCGGCTGCGGCGCTCCACGAAAACTTGGGTTCCCCGGGCGCTCGTTCCGCACCATAACCCACGTGTGTCTCAAGGCTTCCAGCTCTGGAATATCCGGAAACGGCACCAAGAATAACTACCGCATTCTTCCTTAATGACGTAATCCACTCCGGCTTTCAGCTGAGCTCCCGGCCGCGCCCCGCCTGCGTTGGAATTCGCTCTCTCCTGGTCAGCCTCGCGAACCTTCAGGAGTCCGGAATGCGTCAGTTCCGCCTGGTAATCGTCGCTGGCCGCAGATGCTACGTCTGCTCCGCTACGTGGAAACGCAGCCAACTCGATGCGCCAATATCGAATGAACTCATACAACGATAAGTGTGCCAAGTCGGGCGCCCCAGGAGCGTCTACTGGGTGCGTGCCATGCAAGTGCACTGGACTATTGAACACAATTCGAACCTTCTTCGACCCTTCTCGTTTGTCCGC